TATTACGTTCACTTATATTTCTTTTAATGTCTTTACCCAAAAGAACAGTTTCTAATATCCATATCTCAGCAAGCTTTACAGCATCTTCATCACAGACCTCGACATCATCACATATATCATCTGCTGCACCATCACGGAGTCGAGAACGCTTTGTGATAAATTTATACAAATGTTCTACCTTCAAACCTTTTGGCACATCAGAGAAATACCGTTTCTTCAAACGGTTATCTCTATCATCAACAAAACTATAATCAGATGCCTCAATCTTCAATCCGGTTATAGAATGGAAATCATCTTCTGTAAAAGCTACGTCGTTATCAAAAACTCTAAAAACCATTTTGCTTTTATCCTTGTAAAAAACTTGAGAAAGCAACATACAATGAGTCAACTTCCCAGAGTGACCCACGTCATCCAACTCTAAAAATTTCCCAAACACACCATTCTTTAACTGTTCCATTTGAGTTCCACACAAAAACTCTGAAATTGTTTTCTTAAATTTTCGATCGCCTTTCCAATAACAATCAGCAGCAAACCACTTCTTAAGATCATAAAATCGATCTCCCTCCTAAAATCAAAATATAACACAGATAAGCAACATTTCATGTAATTTTAAGATAAAAACTTCAACATTTTAGAAATACGTACCTTCAATATCAAACTTGATGATTCCATTTCTATAAAATCATCAAAAAAAACATATTACAAATCAGATAATAAACACAATCAGAATCCCAGTATATATATGAGAAATAAATTATCAAAATAACTCATTCACTAAAATGAACAGAAGAACAGTCTAGAGATTGCAGTCTTCCAGCATAATATACTGGATCAGACTAAAATACAAGATATGAAAATCGAAAAACAGCACAATAATCGGTATAATATACTGGAGAAAAAAGCTTACACACAAGAGAAACTCTGTAAAATATACTGGACTTAAAAAATACTTGTCTATATTATAATATTCATTCAGTATAACATACTGGAAGCCAAACATTCATATGATAGATGTCCCCCTATAATATTCTATCCTAAACAGAACTCGTCCAGTATAAAAAATATTAAACACAGGTGGTGTCCTGTATATTATACTGGATTGAAACTAAACTCAACTATATGCTAGACCAAATTCAACTTGTCCAGTCTAATATACTAGAGCAAAAAATTACACACAGGTGGTGTCCTGTATATTATACTGGATTGAAACAAAACTCACCTATATGCTATCCCAAACTCAACACCTCCAGTATAATATAATGGAAAAAAAGATTACACACACGTGATGTCCTGTATATTATACTGGATTGAAACAAAACTCAACTATATGCTAGACCAAACTTAACTCCTCCAGTATAATATAATAGAAAAAAAAATTACACACAGGTGATATCCTATATATTGTACTGGATTGAAACAAAACAAAATAATATATGCTAGAATAAAGTGATAAAATTATCAGAAACAAAACAAAATAATGAACACAAAAAATAATTATTTAAACCTTAACGGTACGGTAAATCAAACTTAAACATAACGAAACAACAATAAGAACGTGAATCAAACACATTATTGTAAAAACAAGACTCACCCAGAGAATTTTGAAGAAAATTAGAGCTAAAACGATCAAGAATTCGAAAAAAAGTGCTGTGACGAAACCCGCACGCGCTGCTATGCAAACAAAGAGTAAAAAGTTACCAAAGAGTATGTTAAAGCGTGCAAGGGCAATAATGGCATATTACATTCTATTTTAAGTTAAAATGGCTAGAAATCAATGACATCACGGACGGTGGCTATTTTTCGATAGCCACCCGTAAAAGTGGCTATGCCACGCTATTTCGACATCAAAAGGGGCTCAAGGAGAAGTTAATTCATGAATTGAAAAGCTTGAAGCTTTCAGAAGGATGTAAGATTCCAAAAAATGAGATTCGATTCCGAGGTGTTTGGAAAACTAATTCGAAGTTGTAGTAGGAAACCTTAGTTATTTAGGATTTGCTTTATTTAATTCATGTCTAAATAGGATTTGCAGTTAGAATAAATATAGAAATATGCTTTCATGTTTCTAGTTGAAATAGGTTTCATACTATTATAAATAGAGGTATTGATAGCTTATTTTATGTGTGAAGAAGTGTGGAGATTTGTGAGAATTGTAGAGAGCTTTCAGAGAGATTAATAATAAAATATTTTCCTTCATATTGGTATTAGAGCTTCTACGATCTTGGGAGAGAATCAAGTGGCTTCCGCTGCCGGCGGGCGGTGCTAGGCAATGTGTACCGCCCGTCTAGCCAAAATAAAATATGTTCGCAAAATCATAGATAGTTGTCGACAAAATTAGGTTATTCGATGAAAAGTTTCATAAAAGATTCAAGAAAAAAAACAAGTTTAAATAGGTGCAACAAATATGGCACAAGATGAAGAAACTCTTCTCTAAAAGCTGGAGAGGTTTAAAAAAAGTTGGAAGCTGATTATGTGTTTCAACAAAATTGATTGTTGGTGACAAAGTGCATCAACGGTTGGTGACAAAGTGCATCAACGTGAGTTGGAGACAGGTGCTTCAACAAAAAATGAGTGTTGGTGACAAAGTGCATCTACGGTTAGTGACAAAGTGCATCAACGCGAGTTGGAGACAGGGGCTTCAACAAAATTGAGTGTTGGTGACAAAGTGCATCAACGGTTGATGACAAAGTGCATCAATGTGAGTTGGAGATAGGTGCTTCAACAAAATTGAGGGATGAAGACATGTGCTTCATCAAAAGTGAAAGTTGGAGAGAAGTGCTCTAACATAAGTGCACAACGAACAAGTCAGATGTATACAACTTTGAATTACGGGAGAATGTTGGAAAACTAATTCAAAGTTGTAGTAGGAAACCTTAGTTATTTAGGATTTGCTTTATTTAATTCATGTCTAAATAGAATTTGCAGTTAGAATAAATATATGAAAAGGCTTTCATGTTTCTAGTTGAAATAGATTTCATACTATTATAAATAGGGATATTGATAGCTTATTTTATGTGTGAAGAAGTGTGGAGATTGTGAGATTTGTAGAGAGCTTTGAGAGAGATTAATAATAAAATATTTTCCTTCACGAGGGATTTAATCTTTTGGAAATGTGTCCAATTTGCAGGGAAGATTTCTTGGTAGATCTATCGTTTTTTACTTAAAAATCGTGTCCTCATATTACTTGTCGTGAATCTCGTATTCTCGAATGGCTCTTGAGAAATCGATCATGCCCCCATTGTCGATCCGAATAAAAGTTGGCTTTGAAATCTTTGTAATTCATGTTATTCTCATTATTGTATGAGTACTAATATCTCTTTATGTAATCGTTTATTATTACTTTGTTAATTGATCAATATTGAAGATTTGAAGTGCATGTCAATTTCTACAACCAATTGCGCAAGCTAAACCATACAGTAGGTTACGGTCCCTGTATTACATCTCGCATAGTATTTTTTAAACTTACATATAAGCTGGGTAATTCCAATTTATTATTTTTTGATTTAAAAACTATTTTTATTGAAAAGTTACTATTTTTAAGCTAATTCAAACGGGCTCTAACTCTCTTGCGTTTGGAATAACATAATGGGAGAATGTCACGAGCTCTATTAGAATCACATAGATTTTAATGTCTCACAAGCTTAGCACGGCTTTTGTTTGTTAAGTATATATGATAAACAAGAATCATGCTTCTGAAAACATATATACTCCTAAAATATTATTCAATCATGAAGCACAAGCAGGATAATTCATACCATCAAAGAAGAAGTCAACCTAATTTTTCGAAAATAACACATGAATGTTACATGATATATGATCAGACACCACACATGAATTTGACAAGATCAGCTGGAGTTAGGTAATCAAATTGGATTATAGCTAGCTAGGATGCATTGTATTTATTCAAGCACTTTTCCAATTAATTCCGCAAGCAAAATCATACATGTACCATAGGTTACAGTCTCTTGATATATATCTATCAACTTGGCTGTTTAAAAATATTATTAATATTAAAGCTATATTACATCTCCAACAGTATCTTTTAACTTAGATTACAAGAACCATTAAATGGGATTTTTGAAATCTGCACAAAGATTAAAAATAATAACCAGTTCTTTAAATAATCTAATCAAGAAAACAAAAGAATTAGCATTCTATCTTAGCTTTCTCCATTTTAGAAATTTTTCAACTACTTTTTTGAACTGAATATTGATTTTTTTTTTTTTGGTAATTACAAAACATTTTATTACCACTGAGTATATTTACAGCTTAACATGTTGTTAGATATGAATTTATCACTGAAACAAATAAATCTTCCTTGTGAACGAAATAACTCCTAAAAACCTAAGAACAATTGAAAATCCTCAAGGTACGTGAACCATAGAGAAGGCCAAAATTAATGCCTAATCACTCAGTATTATAAATAGCACTGTTTTTTGGTTTTACTGATCACGCGTCTATATAAAGAAAGCAAAAGGGACAGAAGCAAAATCAATTTATTCTCTTCTTTTGCAAAAAAATGCCTTCTTTGCTCAAATTCTTATTTCTTTTTTCCCTCCTCTTGCTTTCTGCTCTTTATTCAAATCCTGCTCCAATTTCAAAGCCTGTTGACCAGTAGCTGAGTCAACAAGCTGATGGTTAACTATAGTTAGGTCTAATTATTATGTTAACTAGAGTTAGTTAGATAGTTAGTTGTAAAGAGGCGGTTATTTTGTTAAGAGGTTAGTAGTTAAATACTGTAGTCTTTGTACAGTGATTATTCAGAAATGAAGAAGCATCTGCTCTTTCTTCTTTAATTTTCTCTCTGAATCTCTAACCTCTTTCTAGCTTCAGTAGATCTCCCATGGCTTCTATCATGGTATCAGAGCCATCGGTATAAGATCGAATTCGAACGAGCAAACTAATTTCTTCGCTTAGGTTACTTCAATTTCTGCATCTCTAATTGCAGAATTGTCTCAGAGTAACTCAAAATCGAAGCTAGGGTTTGCAAGCGGTTGTTTCTTCGAAGCTAATTTTCTAGTATCAATGGCGGTTGAAGGTGAGCAAGTCAATGCTTCCACTACCCCACCAACTCGTACTGCTACAGCTACGACCTCAAAGAATGGAAATTTTGTGGTCAACTCTTCATTTCCTACTGTCGATCACAACCATCCTTTGTACCTACAACCTAATGACACACCAGGTAGTTCTTTGATATCTCTTCAGCTTACTGGATCTAATAACTACACCTTGTGGAGTCGTGCAATGCGAATTGGCTTATTAGGTAAATGCAAGTTAGGTTTTGTTGATGGTAGGTTTCCTAAATCTAGGTTTGAACCTGATCTTCATGATTTGTGGGAGAAAGTGAATGCTATTGTTTTGTCATGGATAATGAATGCTGTTAGACTAGGTCTGTTGAGTAGTGTCTTATATGCATCTAGTGCTCATAAAGTGTGGGAAGATTTAAAGGAGAGATTTGACAAAGTTAATGGTTCCAGAATCCTATACCTACATAGAGAAGTTCACACCTTAGTTCAAGGAGTTATGACAGTGACTGACTATTTCTCAAAACTAAGAGAACTTTGGGATGAATTTGATGCACTTATGCCATGTCCTGGATGTCCTTGTCCTGAATCAAAGATGTATGCACAACATTTTGAGTATCAAAGATTGCTTCAGTTTCTTACTGGACTGAATGAGTCCTACTCTCAGTCAAGAAGTCAAATTATGATGATGTCTCCTCTCCCTAGTATAAACAGAGCATACTCTATGTTAGTTGATCAGGAAAGTCAGAGAAATCTTGCTACTATGCCACAAGTAGCCCAAGTTTCTGAAGCTTTAGAGAATTTAGCCATGTACACTAACAAAGGGACAAATAACACTGGAGGCTACAAATAGAAAAGGAGTCAAGTTCAATGTGAATATTGTCATTACAAGGGACATAGCAAGGAGAACTGTTATAAGTTGGTTGGATATCCTCCTGATTTCAAGTCCAGGAAGAAAGGTGTTAATGGTGGACAGTATGCTAATCAGGTGTACAACCCAAAACTGAACTATGGAGACATATATGGTGTGGGAAATAATGTAGCTTCTAATGTGGTTCAACAAGGTAGAGTTGGTAGTCAGTCTAATGCAGGTGTCTCACAAACACAGCCAGCTAGTCAGCCTGCATTTTGCCAGCAAATGCCATTGTCTACTCCTGTCTTTACCCCTGAACAGTATCAGCAAATAGTTCACCTGTTATCCAAGGGAAGCACAGAAGGATCAGAAGCTTTAAACAAGTCAACAGCTGCAGGTATTCTAAACAAAGTGAATGCATTTATGTCTCATTGTGTTAATGACAAGTGGATTGTTGACACTGGGGCATCAAATATCATATGACTTCCAGCCTTGAAATACTACATGATTATAAAGCACTCCCAAACACAGAAGAAAATAAAGTACAGCTACCTACTGGTAATGTGGCATCAGTGTCACACACAGGAAATGCTTCTGTATTGAACAATCATGAAATCTCTAATGTCCTGTATATTCCTGACTTTAAGTTCAACCTACTCTCAGTTTCAAAGCTTACTACGTAACTAAAATGTAGGGTTGGCTTCTTTCCTGATTTCTGTATCTTTCAGGACCACTTCAGTGGTCAGGTGGAGGGGATTGGTAGAGAAGAACATGGTTTATACATACTGCGTGGGAGTAATTCTGCTGCAAACTCTTCTCAGCCTACAAATAAGTGTGCCAACACAACAAATGAAGTTCCTGCTGTCTCAGCAAATGATGAATCTAGCTCTTTATCTGCTTCTAGTACTTTATCTAGAACACATGTCTCTAGTGTTTGTAGTTTGTGGCATATAAGACTTGGACATGCTCCTATAGATGTAATAAAAAAGATAGAAGCATTGAATGGTTTGACAACAGAAGCTCCTAGTCAGCCCTGTACTGTATGTCCTGTTGCTAAGCAAACTAAGATGCCCTTTCAGCTAAGTAATTCTACTTCTAAATCTGTTTTTGAGCTAGTTCACTGTGATATTTGGGGTCCATATAGAGTACCTACTCATGATGGTAAAAGGTACTTTGTTACCATAGTTGATGACTATAATAGGTTTACTTCGCTATTTCTTTTGAACTGCAAATCAGAAGCAATTGTAGTCCTAAGAAATTTTCTTACTCAAGTGAGCAATGTGTTCTCTACTGCTGTTAAAACTCTGAGAACAGATAATGGGAGTGAATTATTTAGCACTGCATTCAAAACCTTGTTGTCTGATCTTGGTATTGTACATCAGAGTACCTGTGTTTACACACCCCAATAGAATGGGGTAGTGGAAAGAAAACACAGAACCATTTTGGACATGGCCAGATCTCTTAAGTTTCAAGCGTCTGTGCCTTTAAAATTCTGGGGAGAATGTGTTACTACAACAGTGTATCTATTGAACAGGCTACCTTCTAAGGTAATTGAAAACAAATCTCCCTTTGAAAGGTTGTATCTGCATCCACCCTCTCTGTCTCACCTCAAGGTATTTGGTTGTTTGTGCTACTCTACTTCTCCTAAAGTCCTTGATAAGTTCTCTCCTAGAGCAGTTCCAACTATGTTCTTAGGCTACTCTTCTACTCAAAAGGGGTATATATATACTGTATAATCTACATGCCAAGCACTTTGTAGTTAATAGAAATGTGGTGTTTCATGAATCTATCTTTCCCTTCAAACATACTAGGGATTCAAGAACTATGGTGTTCCCTGTTCTGGATCTACTTTCTCCTGAAGTGAATTGTTTTCCTACTTCCTCTTCAATGCCTACAGTAGAAAGGTCAACTGAATTGGTTGCAGATCAAATGCCTCCTGATTGTTCTGCAGAAGTTCCTCTTTTCTCTCCAGGCAGAACTGAATCTATCCCTTCTACTATGCCTAGTCTTCAAGACAATGACTGTGCTGAGTCATCTATTGGTCAGTATGATCTTGCTGAGAACCTTGAAGGATGCAGGAGATCCTCCAGACCAAGCAAACCACCTGTGTGGTTGGAGGATTATGTCACTCTTTCAAAAGGCTCAAAATGCCCTTACCCTATTTCTTCCTATGTTGATTATTCACATATCTCTCCAACCTTTAGACAGGCTCTCACAACCTATTCAGCTGTTACAGAACCTACTACCTTCAGAGAGGCTGCTGCTGATCCTAGGTGGGTGAAAGCTATGCAGCTGGAGATTAATGACCTTGAAGATAACAAAACTTGGAGTGTTGTGGATCTTCCACCTGGAAAGACACCCATTGGCTGCAGATGGGTGTATAAAGTCAAGTACAAAGCATCTGGGGAGGTAGAAAGATTCAAGGCTAGGCTGGTTGCTAAGGGATACAGTCAAAAAGAGGGTCTAGACTATGGTGAAACCTTCTCTCCTGTTGCTAAGATTGTTACTGTCAGGTCCATTATTGCCTTAGCAGCCTCTCAGCATTGGTTAATTTTTTAGATGGATGTTAATAATGCCTTCCTCAATGGTGATCTTATTAAGGAGGTTTACATGCATATACCTGAGGGGTTTGCTAGACAGGGGGAGAATCATAAGAGAGTCTGCAAACTTTATAAGTCCCTTTATGGGCTTAAACAGGCTCCAAGACAATGGAACATGAAGCTAACAGAGGCCCTAGTGTGTATGGGGTTCCAACAAAGCCACTATGTTTATTCTCTATTTACAAAGAAGGCTGGGAGTGATATAGTAGTCATACTAGTATACGTAGATGATCTTTTGATCACTGGAAACAATCAACAACTACTGTGTGAAACAAGATCAGATCTCAAGCAAAGGTTCAAGATGAAGGATCTAGGAGAGCTAAAATTCTTTCTAGGCATTGAGTTTGCAAGGTCTAGACAAGGAATTCTCATGTGTCAACGAAAATATGCACTAGAGTTAATTTCTGAGTCAGGACTAAGTGGTGCAAAGCCAGATGGAACACCCTTAGAACTGAACCAGAAGTTAACAACCACTCAATTTGATAAGTGTTTCAATACCAAGAACATCAACTCAGATGAAGTGCTGAAGAACCCTGGTACTATCAAAGATTGGTAGGAAGGCTGCTATATCTCACTATGACAAGGCCAGATATTGCCTTTGTGGTGCAAGTGCTCAGTCAGTTCATGCATTGTCCTAAAGTGTCTCATATGGAAGCAGCATTGAGAGTAGTAAGATATCTAAAGCAGGCACCAGGTCTGGGACTACTTATGCCCGCAGAATCCTCAAGTAAGTTGACTGCTTACTGTGACTCAGATTGGGGGGCATGCATACAGACAAGGAGGTCTGTTACAGGGTACTTAGTCAAATTTGGCAATGCACTGATATCCTGGAAGTCTAAGAAACAGAATACTGTCTCCAGAAGCTCAGCAGAAGCAGAGTTTAGGAGTATGGCATCATGTGCAGCAGAGGTCACTTGGTTAACTAGTTTATTCAATGAACTAGGTGTCAAGATTAAACTGCCAACAACCTTGATATGTGATAGCAAAGCAGCAATCCAAATAGCTGCTAATCCAATATTTCATGAAAGAACAAAGCATATTGACATAGATTGTCACTTTGTGAGAGAATAAATTAGCCTGGGACTATTGAGAACTGAACATGTAAATACAGAAGATCAACTAGCTGATTTTCTTATAAAGGGATTGGGCAAAGCTCAACATGAGTACTTGCCGGATAAATTTGGGCTGAAGAACTTGTTTGAATCATCAGCTTGAGGGGGAGTGTTGACCAGTAACTGAGTCAACAAGCTGATGGTTAACTATAGTTAGGTCTAATTATCATGTTAACTAGAGTTAGTTAGATAGTTGGTTGTAAAGAGGCGATTATTTTGTTAAGAGGTTAGTAGTTAAATACTGTAGTCTTTGTACAGTGATTATTCAGAAATGAAGAAGCATCTGCTCTTTCTTCTCCAATTTTCTCTCTGAATCTCTAACCTCTTTCTAGCTTCAGTAGATCTCCCATTGCTTCTATCAAAACCAACAACAATAATGCCACCGCACTTATTGACAAAGCTTGCTCATCATTAACAAACAAAGTCTTGTGCATGAACTATCTCAAAATCAATCCAAAGGTAATGGCAGCTGCAACATCAAAACCCTTAGACTTTGCACTTGCCATTATCGAGTCAGCAATAAGCGAAGCCAAAAATATTCATTCGTATCTGTCCAAACCTAGAGGAAAACTCAGTCCACCAGCTATTGAAGCTTACAATTTTTGCAAAACCCAATGGGGTGACGTGGCTAGTGGATTGGAATGGAGTCTCAAGATTATAAGAAAGGATAAAGGCTATGCTCCTGATACAAGTACAGATTATGAAATCTTGATCATGCCACCAATTGTGGAACAACCCTAGCCCAAGCAAAAATTCAAGATCCTGTAATAGAAAAAGGAAAAGAGAAGGTGCAGCTGGCTGTAGGAGGTGCAAACAACATTCTTGAGTGGGCAAAGCCTCCCAAAAAGAACGACTAGTAATCTCTTTATACAAAAGTAATAGTAAAGAATTCCGATATAATTAACGTAGAGAAATAAATTAGAAACAGCACATTAAGGTACTTGACCAGTGCATTTCTAGATTAATATGTTGAAGTGAATGAGATTCCTCTCAAAGTTGATATTTTTAGTGCCTTCTAACTCTATAAAATTGTTGTGAGGAAGAATAGTTCAACCTAATTTAATAAATTTAAAGTAGCGAAAATGATCATCTTCTGTACATAAATATATAAGGTGGAGTATCTAGAGCTAAGCCTTGACTTTATAGAAATCATGGTTAATGACACAAAAATGTTATAAAACTAAATTTAAAATTATCAGAAGAATCATGTAATAGATTTCATATTCTGCTTTTGGACTTTGTCTTACCAAACACAAGAACGTGATATTATAAAGTACCCCAAACCAGATTCTTGTAATTATATCATCAATTTTTTGTGTTAGATCTTCCTACTGAACAAAAACTATATACAACAAGATCTAAGTTATTATATTGGTCAATAAGCATTAACCATTTTGTTGAACCAATTCATCCCCTATTTGACAGTTAACTTCGTAGTCATGGCAATGTGCTTCATTATGCGTTTCTCCTCTTCGCGTATTAGATTAATAATTGCTGTAGCTGTAAAAATAGGTTGGCCCTTGTTCCACTTGGATATAAATAATGCATTAATCTTACATGGAAATTTAGATGAGGAGGTCTTCATGAGACTCCCTTCTGCTCTTTCTATTCATTCTTCTTCTTCAAAGTAAGCCAACAAAATCTTTTGCTAGTATTTGCATATCCATAGGCCATACTACCAAGTCTAGCATACTAAATTTTCACATATATCCTCATGATTATGTGAGAAGGTATATATGAAAAGCTAACATATGGATCAAAGGAGCTAATATCCAATTCTATTTAAAATTATTTATGATAAAACTAGAACAAAAATGAAGTGTTCCTATACATCAATATCATGAAATTTTTTAATTATATAATTTAAACATAATAACACCAATATAGAAATGATATTCTTCATATCTACGGAGCTAATAACGTGTTATGTAGGATAAAGTCTCAATTTTCACGCAAAACTAATTCACATGATAGGGTCCTTTTAACAACCTTAGTATTGTTTCCTATATATATTCATGTTGCATATGCGAAATTGATTGGAAGTTCACAAAGGCTTCACGGTCCCGCCGTTATGTGGTCTATGGCTCCTAGGTCGACTATCCACAAAAGATTAGTTTTAGAAAGATAGAAAAAATAGAACTAGCAACACATATATTGCTAATCATAAAGAACACAAAGTACCTTTCTAAACTCATCGTGAGGTGCTTTCCTAGGCTTAGTGCAATCACTAACATCGTGATCCATTTGATCACAATTGAAGAATTTCACTTTAGTCACTATTATTCTTTCTTTAGCAGTGTCTATTTTGTTATTGTTTTAGAGTTCATGTTTGGTTAAGCCTTCGGTTTTCACTGATTTTTCGTTTAAACCATTGGTTGAG